GTTAGGTTTTATTCTCAAAACGATGATATCTAAGATCCAACCTTATCATCTTTTTCGACTAAGAATGTACTTCTAGCAACTGGAAAATTCTGATTCGTTGAAGATATTGATAACAATGGAAAGAAATTTCCTATATTAAAAGCATGTTTGTTATTAGTAATGATTACTTTTAACTAGATATTGGAGGAAAGGCCTAAATTGACAAAAAATATGTATATGATCAAAAAATTAATTTTTATATCATAAATAAATCTTATAAATTGTAATAAAATTCAACTTTAAAGAATTATACTGCAAAATATTATCGATACAAATATTTTGTTTCTTAAGTAAAAAATGATTCTGATCTTAATCTAAATTAATTTATATAAAAAAATAGCTTTAAAAAAATTATCAATTTGGTGCCTTTTCCCAATATATAAATATTTATTCAATTTTTTTTTTAAATAAGTTATGTTTATAGATTGTTTTACATAATATCGTTCCTCTTGCAATCAATTCTCGTGACTTGCCTGAATCTCTGTTGTTAATTAGTATGACGCTACTATAACTGAACCTCCCCAAAATGATCCTCACCATGAAAACATCTTATTATCTATAGAAACTAAAGATTTTATAGACCAGGGCAATACTGTACTTAAATTAGAATGCTTTCATTCAAGATCTGCTCAACACCTTACTTCTACTACTACTACCATAAAAAAAGGATCAACCCTCTTTATGAATAGTGACCTTACGATTGTTGATGACACCTATGTTGTTCATCTTTATGGTATGAACTTTTGTGAATACCAGAAATCTATTATAAACACGAAAAATTCAACTAATCTCCTGTGGTTAAATAAGTCAAGTAAAGTACCAAAAAAAAAAGAATCAAGTGAATCTCCAGAAAAAGATACACAAAACGAATTACCAAAAAAAAATAATTTAGATAAACCTTTGGCAAATGAAACTTCAGGTTCTGAAAAAGTTGCACGTACAGTTGCTTTGAGAGTTAAAGGTAGTAGGCAAAAAAAATCAACTAAGACTAAACCGTACTTCAGGTTAAATGAATGACCAAAAGTAACTGACCTTGCTAAAAAAAATGCTAAACCAAAACCCAAATACTGATACTTCTGATTCTTCTGTATCTCAAAATGTTTAAAGCGTTCTTTTTTTCTTTTTTGTTTTACCTTTTTTTTTTTTATTTACAAATCAATTATTTTGTTTTACCTTTTTTTTTTTATTTACAAATCAATTATTTTGTTTTATCTTTTTTTTCATTTACAAATCAATTATTTACTTTTATTATTAAGTCATTTGATCATGAAAGTATAATTTATCTGTATATACTTATTAATGATTGTTTCTTTTTTTCTTTAAATCAAATATTTACTATTTGTTATTTGAATTATAAAAATATAAATTATCTGTATATACTTACCAACATTTAATATTTTCTCTCTATTGTAATTATCATTTAATTAAATCATGATAATCTTATTAAATAATGATATATTCATACATATAAAAATCTCAACTAAACGATTATAGCAGAGACAACACCTGATTCAAAATAAATCTCTCTCACTACGTTTAATCCCAAATTAAATTATTTATACTCGATTCAATTTTGATACTTATTCCCTCACAGTTTTAATATGTGTTATGTTGTTTATCTCTGCTATTCTAAACAATTGTTTATAAATTTACTACACAAGTCCATTAACAAATCAATTCAATAAATTTACTTTTTCTTATTATCTTCTAGGTACATATTTTTAAAGTACAGCTCTGAATGTGAACTTAAAAAATCTTGCATGAAATCTTTATAAAATATATTATATCTTCTAACCTATATCTATTCTAGAAACTATTTCTATCTCCCATCATATACGCATCTTCGACTCTTTAATTAAACCTACTCTCTTTTTTATTTAGTATTTACTTTACTGCATTCTCTACAACTATTTAATACTAATACATCATACTTTATCTCCTTGAGATGTACGATATCATAGGATTTACAAATCTAATTAAGGTTACTATAATAACTATAATAAATCTTTATATACAGATTTTTTGCTGACCATCATCTAAATAGTAACTTCAAAACTCTATTACTTCTGAACTAGTGAATCTACAAAACTAAAATTATAATTTTTAGATTTCTTGTAAAATGCTCTATGACGATTTAGAGCTATTTTTTTTAACTTTATCATAATAAACTGCTAAATTAAAAAAAAAAATCTGCAATAATTAAAAAATGACCCTAAATTGTTATAGAGCATATTATAAGAAATCCAAAAATTATAATTTTAGTTTTGTAGACTTACTGGTTCAGAAGTAATAGAGTTTTGAAGTTACCATCTAGATGATGGTCAGCAAAAAATCTGTATATACAGATTTATCATAGTAACCTTAATTGGATTTGTAAATCCTAAGTATATGTAATATCGCACACCCTAAAGTACTCTTTTTAGTTATTATATACAACATAACCTTTTTTATTAGTACTGATAACCTAATAAATCTATGTGTTTCAAAAATGTTATATGATTTTTTGTTTAGTATTTCATATTACACACTGCTATACCCTTTTATTTTGACAACCTTATACCTTATTTAGTAATTTAGTATTAGTCTTTATTTATTATCGCTAAATAAACTAATATAGAAATTTTTTTTTTTTTTTTTTTTTTTTTTTTACAAACGACCTCTTTGGCCAGACACTTTATTAAGTTCTGTTATAATTTATTACAAGTAATGATTACAACTTATTTAATTCTATGTACAACCTTAGGACTAATTTATCCTCGAGGTAAGCTTGACCCAATTACAACTAACCCACTATAGTATTTAATTAGGATTTATGCTACAACTATCCTTATTAGGTCACCTTTTTCTATATTCTCCGCATCTCTCATACTCCTACAGAGATACTACCAAATAGGTAACCAGGGGGACACCTAGGGCATCGTCATCCTCACGGATAACTTCCTGTTTGGTATTTAGCTATCTAAACCCGTGTACCTCCTAATTAGCTTACAACGCTCAATCTAGGCCCGCAACTAATACAACTACTGCAGGACTGGGTATGCAGCATTTATAACGTACAACTGTATTTATATGCAATGCTACTATCAATACCGGACACTCCCGTGTGTTGGTAAAGTACAGGCTATATTTCGCAACATGGTTGCTTCCAACTAGGTTCGTAATACGTAGTACTACTTCCAATTTGCTTCAGCATTTACTGGTGTTTAATGTTGGTATGCCTTTGTACTCTTGACGTACGAATGTACTACCAGCCCGGTGCTTCCTGCCATTTCGGGTTATTACGCATGCCCTAGATAGTAGCCAACTCTCTACAGAACTAGGACCTTCCAATTCTAGCTTTCACATGTACCAGAGGTGTTCCACATCTAGTTAGGACAATCTTTTGCCACAGATTTCTATTATATTCACCGCTTCGCTCATTACTCCAGCTCATGTTACCTTCGTGTTACCCTTCCAAGCAAGTTCCCAACCGCTGGGGATGTTGGTGCTGCCTAACCCTTCGAGGACTTATTTGCGCAACACTCGTATAACGGAACCTTCTGTGACACCGACTGTCACACGTAATACCAACTTACTCTATAATATCGATCTTCTTCTGGGAATTCCTTTTCTAGAATCTTGTACTTCACATGAGTTTTATCACAGGGCTTCGCATTCGATTAATGGTTTTCATAAGAATTACAGAAGCAAATGCCTCCAACCGGACTCGAACCGTTGACCTTGTCTGTGGAGGGTTGAGGACTTAACCAACTAAGCTATGGGACCCAACCCCATACTAATATCTTTATCTTCTAGACTTATTTATATATTAGTAATAGTATATATAGATCTTTCCAAATAGCAATCTCTCTCCAATGATCATTTAAACCAACTTTTCAAAAAGCTGAACTATAGAAAAATGATATAGTTAATATATTAACCTTTAAAAAAAAACTTTTCTAGAGTACTGAACTTATATAGTTGAATATTGAAATAGAGTTGAAAAAGAAGTTGCAGCTTTGTGGGCCAGTTTAAAGCATTCTAGGACTATAGAAAAAGTAGTCGCGAAAGTAAAGTTTCTCTTTTAAACAAATAACAAAGTTGAATATATTAGTTCTATACAACTGTAAAACCTACAAGGAACATCTGCAAAGGTTTAAAAACTCACAAAAGCTATAAAGTTAGTTCATCTCTTGTCTTTACTTTTCTTTGAAGATTTTGTAAAAAGTAGGCATTCTAGTTTATTCTCTTCTAAAGATCAACACGTAAAATCTTCAAAACAGTTAGCAGTGTTTACTTCCTAAATAGGTTTGTTGATAACATAGGTTAAAAACAAAATAGTTATACAAATACGACTATACACATACCTTAAAGATACTAGAACTCCAAAATACTGCTTTTGAACTAACTAATAACCTATTTTGACCTTCTATGATCAAGTTGAAGTTTTTTTTTTCTTTTCTACATGGTTTTTTGATAAATATTCTATTAAATGAGAAAATAGTAGAGTAATTCTTATTTAGTATAGTTTATAATTTTTAAGGCTTATTACAGACTTAAAATGTAATCATCTAATATTTGTGAAATACAAATTTCATGTTTCTTTTTCTCTCTTTATCCCTTCCCTCTTTTATTTCTTGATTTGTATCTTTTATCATCTACTCTTTTACCTCTTTTTTATATTCTTAAAAATTTTTTTTGTTTTTTGCTTCCCTATAAGAAGATATCATCAAATTGGCAATATTCTATTATAGAGTAGCAATCAGACAAAGTAGTCTATCTCTGATGTAGATAGTGTAGCAGATCATATTTAGGCTCTATATAGGAACTGAGTAATACTAAACTTGAAAATTAGTTAATTCTTTGAAATATGTATAGTATTAAGAAATCTAATAAAATATTAGTGTGACTGCTAAAGGTAAAAAAAAAATAGTGTATATAGATAATTCAATATAAATTGCCTATACAAAAGAAAACTTATTAAAAATTCTCAATATTGCTAATTCTTTCTACTATTTTATCAATATTCATATTAATCTAACTAAATTAGTTCTTATAATAAATACTCTAACTCAACTTAATATCAAATACAATATATTCTATTTAGATATAATTCTAGATATACTAGATTCTAATACTTTATTTAAATATTTAGGAGCTTGGTTCTCTACAAGTAACAAACTTACACCTGTTCAAAAAGTTATTAACAAAGAAATATATACTTGCATAAACAAACTTTAACTTGTTTATATTATAGAAAAACAAGTAATCTATATAATAAATAGTATTATCATCTTTTAATTATCTTATTGACTCTATAGTATATATCTTTCTCAAAATCAACTCTATTTATTAAACAAACTTTATACTAATATAGTTAGATACAAGACTAAACTTGCTTGTAGCATTTCTACATTTTTCCTATATTATCCAAAAATCTACTTACTTCTATTTTTTCTTTTTGTACAGATTTCTCACTTAGTCTCTTCTTTATCTTAAAACTTAAACTATATAGAATTTAACTTTTTATTTCTTAAAGCTAGACTATAACAACTTTAAGATTTTATATATTCATACTCATTAATTCTTATATATTTTCTAATATTTCTATCTTTTTAAATTCATATATATACTACTCAAGTTATATTAGCTATATACAAATTCAATATACAATTTTTTTACTAAAATAACAACTAACCTATTTCTCTACCTACTTCTTTTAGTACTCTAATTGACTCTATTTTATTAAAAGTTTTTATCTCTATAAGTTATTTTAAAGAACAACTAAATATATATAGAGCAATTTACTAATCATAACAATATTAGATTACTTAACTAGAAACAATTTCATCAAAATATTAACAAAATTTCTAGAGAACTAATTTCTAAGTAGTTTAGCATAATTCAAGAATTAATTATAGATCTGGTGATCTTAGTGTAGTAGTTAGATTGCTAGACCGCTATGCAAGAGGTCTAGAGTTCAAATCCTACTGTATACAGAATTAAATAATTACTTAGACATCTGTATTTAACTTATG